ATGTGTTAAAACTGCTTCTCTAACTACCAGCCAAGAAAAACATGCCACTTTGTATGGTATCTTTACCCTCCATATGTGTTTCCAAGGCCATAGATTGACTTGTCCACCATCTTGGTTTAGGTACTTATAGGCTGAACTGACTGTGTACACCCCACTGCTGTTTTGGCTCCAACTAAGTATATCATCTCCCTCCTGCAGTCCATTACATAGCTCCAGAGTGTTAAAGAAATCTGTAATTCTGGGCAACTCCCAATCATGTAAAGGTCTTCTGAAGGTGAGATTCCATGTCTGTGTACCCCGNAGATTCCATGCATGTGTACCCCGAAGTTCATGTACTGTAGCTCTATGTTGTTGATTCAGGGCATAAATGTCTGGAAAAAGATTCATAAGACAACCAAATCCTAACCAGTTATCTTCCCAAAAAAGAGTTTTCCTTCCATCTCTTACGTTGAATTGAAGCTTGTCAGCAAAATTTGTCCACAGGTTCATATTGTTCTCCACAAGCTGGTACCATAAGCATTGTTTACCTGCTTAGTCATCCAGAATCCTTCCTTTCCATATTTAGCCTTTATTACCTTGCTCCACAAAGCTTGATCCTCCCTGGTAAATCTCCAAAGCCACTTCATCAATAGGCTTTTATACTGCATTCTCAAGTTCCTGACCCCCAGACCTCCCTTCTTTTTGTTGAGGGTCAATGTTTTCCATTTGACTAGATGAAAGCCCTTCTTCTCTTTGTTTCCATGCCAGAGGAAGTTTCTTTTCAAGGTGTCCAGTTTTTTCTCTACATTGGCAGGTATAGGAAATAGGGACAACATATATGTGGGAAGGGCATCTAGCACAGAGTTAATGAGGACCAATCTACCACCCAAAGAAATGTAGTTAGATTTCCATCTTGCTAGCTTTTTCTCACATTTTTCCAGAACTCCATTCCACATATCCTTGGATTTGCTTTTAGCACCCAAAGGCATCCCCAAATAAATGGTTGGGATAAAACCAATTTCACCTCCCAGAATTCCTGCCAAAAGTTGGATATTAGATACCTCATTGACTGGAAAAATCTGACTTTTCCTCCAGTTGATATGGAGTTCAGAGATAGCTTCGAAAATTATGAGGATCACTCTTAGATACTTTACTTGGGTCACATCAGCATCACAAAAAATGAGGGTATCATCTTATGTTCCAAGTAGTCCTTTTAATCTCATCGCCGTTAGTCGCTTAGCCAAATCATTTAAATGCGATGTTTTATTTCTTGATGACCTTGTTTTTATACAGGAACGCAGTACGGGACGGATCATTGGTACCGGACGTGAATCAGATAGACTTTATTACCTTATCCTTGCTAAATCACATGGACTCACATCTTGTCTTCCTTCAACAACTTGTATTGTTACTGATTCACCAGATTTATTACATAAACGGTTGGGACATCCCAGTTTGTCAAAACTTCAACGTTACTTGGTTTATCTCACTTGTACACTCTAGAGTGTGAGTCATGTCAGCTCGGTAAGCATACGCGCTCCCATTTCCCTCGGCGTCTTGATAATCGAGCAGAGTCACCTTTTACTTTAGTCCATTCAAATGTTTGGGGTCCTAGTCGAGTCAGTTCTACCTTGGGATTCCGCTACTTTGCCAGTTTCATGGATGATTATTCTAGGTGCACGTGGATATTTTTAATGAAAAAATGGTCTTAGTGGCCTTGTATGTCGGTTGCGATGGTCCCTCTATGGCCTAAATCAGTCTCCTCGAGCCTGGTTTGGTAAGTTCAGCATAATTATCAAGGAGTTTGGCATGACTCATAGTGAAGATGATCACTCTGTGTTTTATCGGCATTCTACTTCAAATCTCTGTATTTATCTAGTCGTTTATGTTGACGATATTGTCATTACTGCAATGATCAGGATAGTATTACTAAGTTAAAGCAACATCTCTTTCAGCACTTTCAGACCAAGGATCTAGGCAGATTAAAGTATTTTTTGGGTATTGAGGTCGCTCAGTCTAGTTCAGGTATTGTGATCTCACAACGGAAGTATGCCTTAGACATTCTTGAGGAGACAAGAATGACAGACTATAGACCTGTTGACACTCCGATGGATCCGAATTCTGAACTTCTGCCAGGACAGGGGGAGCCTCTTAGCGATCGATTCTGCAAGATATAGGCGGCTGGTTGGTAAATTAAACTACCTCACAGTGACTAGACCTGACATCTCCTTTCCTGTGAGTGTTGTGAGTCAGTTTATGGATTCTCCCTGTGATAGTCATTGGGATGCAGTTGTACGCATTTTTCGGTATATAAAATTAACTCCAGGCAAAGGTTTATTGTTTGAGGATCGAGGTCATGAGCAGATCGTTGGATACTCAGATGTTCATTGGGCAAGATCACCATCTGATAGACGTTCTACATCTGGATATTGTGTCTTAGTAGGAGGTAATTTGGTGTCTTGGAAGAGCAAGAAACAAAATGTAGTTGCTCGGTCTAGTGCAGAAGCAGAATATCGAGCAATGGCTATGGCGACATGTGAGCTAATTTGGATCAAACAGTTACTCAAGGAGTTGAAATTTGGTGAGATGAGCCAGATAAGTTGAGTGTGATAATCAAGCTGCTCTTCATATTGCATTAAATCCAGTGTTCCATGAGAGAACTAAACACATTGAGATTGACTGTCACTTTGTCAGAGAAAAGATACTCTCGGGAGATATTTCTACGAAGTTTGTAAAGTCGACTGATCAACTTGCAGATATTTTCACCAAGTCCCTCACTGGTCCTCGTATTAGCTACATATGTAACAAGCTCGGTACATATGATTTATATGCACCAGCTTAAGGGGGAGTGTTAGAGTAGTTATGTGAATATATGTAATTAGTCTTAGTCCCTTATGTAATAGGAGTAAGTTATTTGTTATGTATAAATATAAATAGGGCTTATTGTAACATAGAAAAATAAGCAATAATATATTTTCTGCTGTGCTTTCTCACATATTCCTCCGGGTACCTGCTACCTCCTACTGGCACAAGTATTGGTAAACTCTATCCACTAAGGCTTAAGCGGATGGGAAAAAATTAGCTAGTGTTTTTGTCTTTGTTGGGATTTGAATGTTTCCAAGGTTTGCACCCACTTTATTTACCACCAGGTTACACCCTGGATGCTATTGCCTAGTACTAACTAAGTTCCCAACCAAAAACATTCAATCAATTCAGCTCATCTAGGTCAGCCAAGAGATCAAAGCAACTCCAAGATAAATTTGCATAGGTAGATTCTACTCACCAGAAAAGCAGCACCAAGTAATGCCAAATTTATACAGTGAAGGCGGACCTAGACACATTTCTACACTTCACGCCTAGTCATGATTGTTATACATGGAATAAAGAAACTCTCAGCTTCTCTAGGCTAATTATTAAGATCTTGGCAGGACATGTCATACAAACTCCTCAACATAAATCCTCCATCTACAAGTTGGATATCCTTTTAGCATTATCTATTTGGGAAGAATAGCAGCAAAAAAATAATACAACATAAAGAAGGGGAAAACAACATTAAAAGGTAAAGCAAAAAAACAGAGGAATGTAGTTATTTGTCCACTTTTATCCTTTCCTGATGCCAGTGTGAATCAAGCTTTTAAAACTTACCTCAAGACATAACATGACAGGAATATTTAAGAACACTGATGTCTTCGGTACTTAAAAGTGTAAAACATCTTCAACAATGTGATCTGCCTGACTTTTGCTCTTTACTTTTTTTTTTTCCTTTTTTTGGTGGGGGTGGAGTAATAACCATTATTCGGATATGAACAGATACAAAGAGACAGCAAACAACTTTCATGGTGCATTTTTGCTGAATAAAATTATTTTTTACTGATAAAAGAAAAAGTGATTAAGCAAATTATTAAGACCAGATGATTTATATACTGCCAGTCAACCTCTATTATGAATATCATTCCCTCGATCTACAATAGCTAATATAAAAATTCACTAGTACATGAAGGAAACAGTAACATAGAGAACTTAAGTAAACTGCTACCTTCTCAAGTCTTTTCACAACTTTTTCACGTGTTTTTTCCTGCTTCTCTGTAAGTTGTCCCTTGTAAGTTTGCCAAGTTATTTCGTCAACTTCATCCTAGCATCAAAATCAATTTATTAGCATTCTATCAGGATGCATTGCATTCTATAAGAATTCAAAAAAACAAATAATAGCAGGAAAATTGTGCAGCGTGCAAGGGACCAACACTCGGATGAAGAGTATATTTCATCTATAACAGGTGAAAGCAATCATAGCAGTCAGCTATTTGCTCAACCCAATGACTCTCATTCCTTGAAAGTATTACTTATCATAAGTTGACTATGTGTCTTTACATTGTCGAAGGTGTCGCTGAATATTTTTGATACATAAACATTTTTTTTAAAACGAAGAAAAACAATGACTTGTTTGGGAATTGGACTTTGCACCTCTGCCCAGCACCACAAAGAGAGGAAATTTTTAGAAAAAAAGAGAGAAGTCAACGATAAAAGCCTGTAGGTGGAGAATTCATCGTTATGTGTATACTTTACTATGGGGTAAACATCTCCTAGAAATCTATCTGTAATAAGGCGAAGAGCAAAACGACTCATAACTGTTATCCAAAAAGCAATGTATCCCCAAATACCTTAAAGGAAAATGAGACAAACAAACTGACCTCGTTCTCCTCGATAGCATCTTCACCCATTCCCCATGAGATCCCGTCGGCACGAGATGCTTCCAGTTTTGCACGGAGAAGTGATGCTTCCATGTCTTGCACCTCTTCCCGGATCTTAGCTTGTTTTATCCTCTTCAGGTCAGCTTCCTTCAAAATAAAAACAAAGTAATGCTTTTGAAACAGGACATTAATTCTAATGGGAGGGTTCTTTTTCTTTAATTTTTTCCCTAGAGTAGTTAAGTACGTATCATTTGGTTCATTGATCATTTCTCGTAGAACTCCTTGACAAAAAATACTACATTGCACAAGCAAGACAAGCAGGAGTAACTGTATAAAATGCTTAAGGAAATAAAGAGAAAACAAAGCAAGAGAAAGGAGATGCAGTAGCACAAGTGTCATACCGGTGGCATCAGGTCAGTTGGTCCTTGAAATATATATAACCGTGACGAGCTGTAAAAAGTGAAGAACATCAGAATGATGACAAAACATTATAACACCACTAATAAGAAAACCTGTTGCTTCCAATTATGAAGATAAAACAAAGAAAGACCTTTTAAAGTAACCAGGACAATGAAAAACATAAAAACCCAATACTATGAGAAGACCAGAAAATTTTAAAGAATACTGAGTTCAATAATAAAAGAAGAAAAGATCTATGTTCTAAGCAAACATTGCACACGGATTCGGCGAGATCTTTTTGTTGGATTCAACGAGGATGCAATTTTTCTTTTCACGGGAGTAAACAAGCAGGAGCTATGACTTACTTTCCAAATCGAAGGACGTCACCAACATGCAGCTCCACATAATTTCTCTTCTCCACCTAGTAATTTGCAAATGGGCAGCCATTAGAATATGCTCTTTACTGATTTTAAAATGAAATCACTCCATTAAAAATGACAGGGTAACATCTAATCGCCGGAAAAAAATAATTGAATAGATATCAATTATCGGCAATTTCTTTTTCCACTGAAGCACCAAGTTACCACACAAACTTCTCCTAGATTTCTGTTTTTATTACAATCAATTGGCATTAGTAGTGGATTAAAAAGGAGTTTGAGAAGTGCTTAAATTGATTAAAAACTAGAGCTGCGGAACATAGAGCAACAAACCAAATCAAATCATGAAGCATAAGCTGAAGACATGCAATTATTTATTAATTTTTTTTTCTTATAAAAGATTCTTTATTCATCTGAACATCCTTAGCTGTAATATATTGCGAGCTAAATGGAATAACAAAGAAAGTATAACAAGATACATTAAAGTACCTGATTTTTGTTAATGAATGTCCCATGTGTACTGCCAAGGTCATAAAGATAAGCATTGCCACTTCCCCTGAACTGCAAAACTGCAAAGAGAATGTGGTTACAGAATTAACTCTAGTGATAAATCTTAAAAGGAAGGTTACCAAAACTGCAAAGAGAGTCATGTATATAGTGGTAGAAGTGAAGAATGAATACCAGCATGGAAGCGAGAGATGGTCGGATGTTCAAGGACAAAATCGCAAAGATCAACACGACCAAACATGTAAGCCCCCTTCTTGTGCCTGGATAACAGTAGAAAGGTGATAAGATACCCTTAAAGAAAATAAAAGTCTAGTAAATAAAAATAGTGAAGTCTAACAGAATTTCACAGACAATGCAAATGAACCATCCTTTCCATATGAGAGGATGAATAGTAAGAGAGCTGCAGAAATACTTACAGAATGTTCTAGCTACCAAATTTAAATAGTTTTATTATAAGTAACTAACAAAAATAAAATAGCACTTGATTAGAAAGTCCATAACACCTTCAAGTAGTTTCTACCAAAAGATTCAATTTTTGCAAATATGTATCTAGAAAAAGATTCAATTTATTCACAAAACTTGTAGCTGGAGGGGACACAGTAAATTTCTCCTTTTTCCAATTCAGTTGATAATGTAACAAGCATGGCACTTAAATACCAGCGTAGCAGAAGAAAAAGCTTATGAGGAACGAAAAAATTGAAGTCTGCAGAATTACGTACACGTCAAATTGATCAATGATGGAGCCATCTTTAAGCACTTCAAGATAAAACTGATGACATGGACGCCCACTCCACGTGGGAATGGTGTAGGGAACTGCAGCAGCACAGGATCGTTGCTCTTGCTTGATGTCTTTACTACTACTTTGGGAGGAAACAGAGCTCGAGCTGGACTCATCACCACTTCCAGAAGGTTCTGTAGAGCTTTGAGGAATAACAGGGGTGTCTGATTTGGACTTCTCTTGCGACGAATTTGGGTCCGAATTGCTTAGAAATTTCGGAGGTGGAGGTTTCATTGAAGTCTGAGTTGAGCTTGAACACGAAACAACGTCTAGGTTTGAACCAGGAGTTTCCATAGCGGTGGCGGTAGCGGCACGGAATCGCAAGGAGGAACGCGGAGAATCGAAGATGAGTTGGAGGGGGCGGTGGAGATCCAAATTTGGCCTCCGAATCCAGGTCTAAACCGACCCAGAAAGAGAACTTGGACGTCCTTAAAGAGAAGTCGTTTTGCTTAGGATTCTTTCGTTTTGTCTCTTTCTTTCTTTCTTTTTCTTCTTCCTCTTTTTTCTATTTTTTTTTTTTATTTTTTCCTTCTTATACAATATTTAAAATTTATTTACTAAAATTATTCATAATTAATATATTACCCGCTAAGTTTTTTTTACTATTTATATATAATCTATTATTAATACCTTAAATTAAAAAAATTAGTTACACAATTTTTTTTTTCTCTCCTTCCCTTAATTTTCCTATTCTCTGTTACCTCTCTCCCCACCCAAAATTCCCTATTCATGATTGATCTCGTTAAATTGTTGAAAAGAAAAAGCAACAGTATGCGCCGTGGGCAAATACTTTCCTCTTTATTTCTTTCTTATTAGTTAACTAGTGCCTACAAAACACAAAATCACTGCTGTCAAGATTCCATCTTTGTCCCTCATCATTCAACAAATCTTTTTTTTGTTTGTTTCTTATATATGTTCAGATAATCACAAAAGGTATAATTATTCTAAGAATGTGAAGGACCCAACAATAGCCATGTACCCAACTTAAATTACGGCGGTGAATATCGCAAACATAATATATATATCAATGGTCTCGAGATTAGTTGGAGTTGAAACGTAAGTAGAACAGAGAAATAATAAATTTGTATGGTACAACAGCATATAAATTAAAAATAAATTTCGTATAAATTTGATACATCTACAACATCATATAAATTTAAACTAAATTTTATACAACTAACTATATAATATACAACTTATTTATAAACTTATCTACAACTTTCATACATACTAAAAATAAATTCCATACAATTAATTATGAAGTATACACTTATTTACAACTTTCATATATTTTTTTTACTTGTTAAAATACATCTGCAATACCATACAACTTAAATATAATTTTCATACAAATTTTATACAATGTCTTTTGTATATTTTGTATCTGATTTGTATATATTTTGTATGTGGTGTGTGCTTCTTCCTCTCTAAAATTCCAATCAAAACTTTCTCTCTTAATATAATTTTGATACATACCAACAACTTTGTATAAAAAAGATAGTATTGCTCATTTAAATACAAATTTTATACAACTATTCATACATTATACAATTAATTTTCAACTTTCATACAACATTCAAATAAAAAAAAATATATAACTACAACAAAATATAATTTACCTACAATTATACTACAACTTTAATTTACTACAATTTCATAAGTATATTGTATGTCATGTATTCTTCTTCTTCAAGTTTCAATATGAAATTCCGCCAAAATCAAATCTAATCTTTACCAAAACCCTCAAAATTGAGATATAAACTCCAAACAATATTCTCAATTATTTGCAACAACACCCAATCCAAACAAAATAATAATTTTTGAAAATCCAAATTCGAATTCAAAGCTTCAAAGCTTTTTAACGGCTGTCAATGGTGGAGAGTCAAATACCTTCAAAATTGATTGATTGACAATTTCAATTTAAACACCAACTGTGCAACACGAAAGGAAATTACTAAGTTAAAACTCTATAGTAAAACAATTGAAATCCATTGATGAATTCTATTAAAAATATATACAACATGAAAGGATAAAAAATAGAGAACATCAGAGAACGAGAGATTGAGAAACAGAGAGAGACGGAGAGAGAGAGAGCGCAGGAGAGAGATATAGCGTTAGAGGGAGAGAATAAGGATGAAAAATAATTGATTCCTTATTCAGTCCTAATATATAGGGATACTCATTTAATTGCTAAAATGTATATAATTGGTAAATTATATATGCTTATGTAATTAAATTGAAACTTGAGTAGGGAGGGTAATAAAGTTTCGAATAGTGTATAGGAAGGTAAAAGTAATTTTTTTTCCTAGCTGGGCCCTTTGAAGTTGTTTGACACTATTTTATCCTTATTTAATTTTCATTAACATCTTTTAATAGTTCAAATTCCTATTACTCACATGTTAAAGTAGTCACATTATATTTTCTCTTTTTTTTTTTTTTTACATTATTACTTTTATTATTATTATTATTATTATTCACTATAATAATAATAACAATTAACTTAGTGTAATTATACAAATGGGTATGGGGAGGATAGTGTGTATGATGTCTTACCCTATCTTATAAAAATAGAGAGGTTATTTCCGATAGACTTTCGGCTCAGAATAATTATTTTTCATCGTGACTAATATACAATCCACAATGAATATTCGATTTTTTATATCAAAGTGAATGTCATCATAAAAACCATAAGAGATATAATAGTGTCGTTTTTATGTTATAATTTTTGACAACTCTTGTTCTAAATAACAAAATATTGTCAATTTTATATCTTTAAAAAAAAAACGAGCATTGTACGTACAAAGTTAAAGTCACAAAAGTTGTATACAAGCAAATAAATATGTCTTTTTTGTCATTTTTATTCGTTCCAAAACAATCATGTGATATATTAATAATAAGATCATGTTGCGTTTTAAAATTATAAAACGAGAGAATATGACATGCAAGTAGTTTCACGCTATCCTTATATTTTCTCTCTCTAAGGTTTGATTGTGTTTGACATTCACCTCAACACTCTCCAAAAAAAAAAATATAAATTATACATGCCGCATTCATACTATCTGTAACAGTTAATAGTTCGCAATTTTTTTTTCTAAAAAGATTATAAACTATAATATTGTAATTTGAGAATGTTTTTAATATTGGGAATTCTTATTTTTAACTCGTAAGAATGTTCAATTATAAGCTTGTATTATTTATGACAACGTAGAGTCAATCGGAAATTGTTAAAAAACGAAAAAGAGAAAAAGAAAGAAAGAGGGGTTATTGACGACAGCGAAGAAAGCACTGGTCGGAGTAAGCATAAAACCGGTCTACAGCTAAATTCCAATCAGCAGAGCAAGAAAAAATTGCAGAAAAGAACCGGTTGTAAAACACATTTTAAGCCGGTTCCCTTTTCTTCCTTTACCAAAAAAAAAAAAAGGAAAAAAAAGAAAGAAATCAGCAACAGACAGGACGATGCAGCAGAAATAAAAACAAGAAATATTGGTGTATCCATCTGGGAAAAAAGATCCCAATGATCAAATTAGAAGACGAAGAACAATTATTCAGTCGCCGTTGAATATTCAGAAACTTCGAAGTCTGTTTTTGCTTCCATCTGAATTGGGGATCACACAAAGTTACAAAGTGGACATATTTCTGTTGGATATGAAATCTGAAGTTCGTAATTGAGAAAAAAGAAGAAGAAATGAAGGCAGGGAGTGCAGCAAAGCTAATAGTTGACGCGTTGCTTCAGAGGTTCCTTCCACTTGCTAGACGTCGCATTGAAACCGCTCAAGCTCAGGTACTTTTTTAAAAAAATTGATAGGTATTTGTGCTTAATTTTGTTTTGACTTAGGTTTTGCAACTTTATCTGAAATTTGGGGAAAATACAGGATGGACAGTACCTTCGGCCATCTGATCCAGCATATGAGCAAGTACTGGATTCACTGGCCATGGTTGCACGTCACACACCTGTTCCTCTTCTCGAAGCCCTTCTAAGATGGAGAGAAAGGTGCACTTTTCCACTTACAATTCGTCCTAAGCATTGCACGTGGTTTTTGTTTATGTGTCAAGTTCAAGTGTATTTTTCATCGTTCGCTACCAATTCGAGCAAGTTCATTTAGGTGAAATAAATTTTGTACTTTGTACAGTTGTGCACTTGTGCTAGCAGATCCATTTGGTAAATATATATTGTTCAGTTGTTCCCCTTACATGTGCTGTATGAAGATGCCAACAGCTACTTTTTCATTTCAAAAAAATTCACATACATGATAAACCGTGATAGGTTATTCATTAGCTTTGTTAACAATTAATATAAATATTTTTTTCATTTTGGGACATCTCAAAATATTTGCCACCATTCCAATGATGTACTATGGTTGGTTGCAGTGAATCTCCCAAAGGTGCAAATGATGCATCAACATTTCAGAGAAAGGTTTGTTAATCTACCAACTCTCTAGTCCTGACTCCTAGCATTGAAGTATCAAACTGATTGTTCCTCTGCACTTCCATTTTCTGGTTGTTGAACAAGTTGGATGAAAATGACTTATCACATAATCTATGGAAAAGCAAAAGAATGGAACTATGGAAGCCACTTCTATTAATCACAGATGTCTGCCAAAATTACATCTGTGTTATACAGCCCTAACTATTTCCGGGTGAAATGGTTGTGCTCATGCTCTCACTTTTAGAGAAACCTAACTTTCCTAGTATAGAACCTCATGCAGTTGGGTCCCCTCAGGGACATCCAATAAAAATTGGTGCAACCCATGCAGTTGGCCTTGTAAAAAAAGAAAAAGAAACAGAAGCCCATGCAGCGAAGGAAGAAACTAGAAAGAGATTGCCCTTATAATATATGAAAATAAACCTGAACTATTCTAACTGAAGTATTTTTAATATGTAACACATTTTAACCTCAAATAGTAGAGTAACGACTAACGAGCATGAAGACATTACTGATGTATAATTTAGACCACTACTCATTTTGTGCCTAATGATACCAAAGTGGTACTATATCATAGGTATTTTACATGCGCTTTTTTATGGGCAAACTATACATGCATATATTCCTTTTTAAGTATGCGAATAAGTTTTGTATGGTTTAGCAACTTAAGTGGTCATATTTGCTTAAGCTCCTGAGTAAGTTCTTCCATGGTTCTTAGCATTTCTCACATCCTTATTAAAATAGTAAGTTCTGCTGTGGTTCAGCTTGCAGTGGAGTGCATCTTTTGCTCTGCATGTATTCGCTTTGTGGAGTGTTGTCCACAAGAAGGACTTACAGGTAGATTCACAGATTCAGCAGATCTACCTTTCTCTAGGGAGCTAATCCACTGCTATTTGAGTTTAACGTGCTTTCCGAACTGCAGAGAAGCTTTGGATTGGAGTTGAAAATTTTGTATTCGATTGGCTAATAAATGCAGACAGGTCGGTTATAAAGCTGGTTCATAACTTATGGCACTCGGT